AATAAAGGCAAAACGTTTAATTATTTATCACTATTTTTTAAGTAAATATCTATATTTTTCATACATCTATGTAATGGATTCTCGAAAAATGGTTGTAATCAAAATTTATAAAAAAGTTTTTTTTTAATGAAAAAACAGCACAATAAGTAAACACCTTTTATTGTTCACAAACATCTCTTTCTTTTTTACAGATTTGCACATACAACGAACAGAGTTGCTTTTCATAAATCATTTTATGTTTAAATTTCCTGTACAAATTCAACAATTTATTTACAAACTACAAAGGATCGCAATTTACAGTTGCTGGTTTTGTGAACACAAAACCGAATATTTCTTTTTCACCTTTATAAAAGTAAAATAAAAAGACGCATTCAGTTTTTCAACTGAATCAACTTTTTCATCTGAAAACTTTTGTCTCATGCAGACAAAAAATAAATACAATTATTTATTTTCTTTCCAGCTTTTACGTTTGTAGTTTATTGACGTAGGGCATTGTTTATAAAACGGAAAACACAAAACATGTCATTATATATCAAAGGACAATGGGGATAGACCGTTTTTTAATAGTTTAAATAATGACTTATTTTTTTATCAATGTTTTTTTTAAAACAAAACTTGAGGGATTAATAAGAAATAACTTGTGAGTAATAAGTAATAATTATTTCACTTATGAGGAGTAATTATATAATTTATTAATAAGGGATAATAAAATAATAATCATTATAAAATTTATATTTTGTGTTCACTTTAAACTAATATTTTTGTTGATATCTAAACTATATTTTTAAGAATGCAAGTAACTAAATTTAAATATTTAGGTGCAATAGTAAACAATAATAATGACATAAAAATTGAAATCAAAAATAGAATCAACATGACTAACAAATGTTATCGTGGATTGAGAAAGAAGTTTATATCTGAATACATAAGTTGTGAAATAAAAATATAGTTGTACAGGACAGTAGTGAGACCAATAGTTGTATATGGTAGAGATTGCTGGGAAATTAACAAAGTAGAAGAAGAGAAACTGATGATTTTCGAGAGAAAGATATTAAGAAAAATTTTTGGTGCAGTAACAGAAACTAATTCGCTACAACAATGAATTACATTCAAAATACAAAGAACCTAACACAATAAAAATGATTAAGGTATTCCAAAGAAGGAGGATTGGACATGTATTTCAATATAGAGATGAAAATCCTATTAAAAAAAAAAATCTTCTAAACACCAGAGGGAAAAAGAAAAAAAAGAAGGCCTGGAACAAAATGGTTAGATAGAGTAGAGAAGTGGTTAAAAGACTTTGGAGTTAATAGATGGGGAAATATAGCATCGAACAGATCTAGATAGGGTAAATTGACCTAGACAGTCTTGGCTGGTAAATGGCTGTAGTGGCTAAGAAGAAGAAGAAGATCTTTTTCTGAAATTAAAAACATAATTTTTAAAAAAAATATTGTCAAAACGTCTAAAAATATAGTTTGGCATTATGTTTTACAAATGAAAACATTGATACTTTTTCCTTGAAAAAGTTTAATTTTATTTAAAAATTTGCTAATTTGATTGGTAAATGTATTCTTTTAACAAACAATAAGTTTAATTTATGGAGTAAATTTACATATTTAATGAAAAATGTTACTCTCTGGGAATTTGTTAACCTGCACATGTTCTTTCCCCAGAAATCGACTTTCGAAAATGAAATTAAAATTGCATAATTCGAATTAAAAATATAAAAAATTTCTTTGTTTAGTAGTTGAGATCATTCAAATCTTACGTAAGCACCTGAAGGGGAAGAGGTTTGTGATTTACTTATTTTTGTAGCTAGGGGCGAGAAGGAGTATGAACAGTGCCTACGTAAGATCCTAAATTTTTCTAGTTTTCTTTTTTTTTAAAACAAAAAGAAGAAGAAAATGGAACCAAAAATCAAGAAAAAAATTATTCTCGAAAAAAAAAAAAATCAAATTCGAAATAAAAGTAAAACTTGAGGAATTTACATTGAGGGTAATTGAATTTTTGTTATCTGCATATATGCTTATAACAAGGAGGGATAGTCCAAATTTGTCAAAAACATGCTTATGTAAAGTTTGAGCAGTTTTTAGGTTTAATTTCAAGAACAAAATTCGTACAAACATTAAAAAGTTTTGCTCCTTACAAGCTTTTTTATAAACTGAATAGAATTTATGAAATACTAACTTGAAATGTTAATTTTATTGATGCTAATTTATTTAAATGTTAATTGACAAACATTCATTAAATTTTTATTTGTAATACAATAATTTCGATCTGAAATTAAATTAATTTCAAGTACAAAATTTGAGTAAACATCAAAAAGTTTTCCCATTACTTTATTTCCTCATAAAATTGTTTCCCTCTTAACAAAACATATGAAAATATATTAATAATAAATTATAAATAATTCAAGTTTGTAATGCCAAGGTTTCAATTTTATTTTAAGACTTTTTATCCGATCTGCAAAAATTTTACTTTGATTTGCTATAAGCTTATTTTGATGCGCAGATTTGCATAACTATTAAAAAGTTTATTCCCATAAAATTGTTTCCATGATGTCCTTTGATATAATTTTTGTTCTTAAAATATTTCTTGATTATTATAAAGCACATAAACATAACAAGAATAAAGAATAACAAACAGCTGGGAAAAGTAAAACTGATAGAGTTTAAAATATCAGGAAAAAAATTTCATATATTTCTTTCTCGAACTTATATTTAGATTTTCCCATCGGATTTATTTAAAGTTAGAAATATTATATTAAATTATTAAAAATATTATAATAAGTTATGAAAGTTATTACTATTCATAATTGCATTTATGTAATCAGATAATGTTGGCAAAATTATTGGATAAAGCATTTTCAAAATATGCATGATAAGTAAATTTTTATTAATACTGTTTTGCATGTTACAACATGTTATACGCGTTGCTAAAAATAACCTAATATGAATTTACAGAATGGGTGTGAGAAGGTTTCAAAACGTTTTAAACTGATCTATTTTTAATTATTACAGACAAAATTTTTAGCTCTACTAGAAATTACTGAAAGTAACCAAATGTGAAACTAAAAAATATGTAATACAAATTATAATAAGTTTCACATCGAACTATGTTCAATGTTATAAATGTAATTTGTGTCGAAACTAAACTTTATATAAATGTAGGTTTAAAAATTTAGAGTATATTTCACTTAAAGCTTAGATAATTTCTGTCATCTTAGTTTTGACGCAACATAAATAGCAAAACATAACTGAATGTCATATTTTTAGTTGGGTACAAGAATCATTTCAGGACAGGTTCGTAATAAACTTTTTTGAAAGCCATAAATATTCTTTTAGTTTTGTCACAACATAATAAAAAATCTAAAAATATCTATGTGTCATATCAAAAAAGGTACAAGAAAAAGTTTATCAAGGTTTAAATTGAACTAGTTTTAATATCATAAATGCATTTTACAGTTATAAAGTGCGCAAAATGAAAAAGGGGACACCATAATAACTTGTGATCTAATGACTAGTTTTTCACATACTGAAAGGCAATCTTAATGATTCGAGAGACTATTAATAAATAAATAGTAGCAGGGATTATGTTGTATGTTACAAAAGCAGACAATTTCTATCTTAAACATACTTTTTTCCCTCCAAGATATTGACCCTCAAAATATAGGAGGGGGTCGTTTTCTGAATATTGTGGTTTCAATTGTTTAGAGAAAATTGCGGTTGAATGTGTGGGTCCTTTAATAAGAAGTTCACTTTATACGCGTTTCGCCTATGAAAGAAGAAGTCGCTCAAAGAAGTCGTATCGCTTAAGTATTATTTTTCGAGAACTATTAGACCGATTTCCTTCAAATTTTAATTTTTTCATTTTTTAAGTATAGATTAAATTGGCTTATTTTTTCCTTCTTTCTTTTACCTTACAATTTAAGATATTTCCGACTATTCGTAATTTAAATAATAAAAATATATTTTCTTGCGTGAAATCATTTTTGGATAAACAAGTTTAATAATTGATGTGAAATTTTTTTTTTTAGGTTTAAATTATCAGGTCATGAGATGTGTTAAAATAGGCAAAAAATAAAATGAACTTAAGAGGCCCAAACTTTTGACCGCACTATTGGGATTAGGCAATTTCTTCCTCTTTTGAAGATCGGAAAGCCAAACATATCGTAAAGTTCCTTTTTATTCAAATAAAAGAGATCTTTACATTGGGTTTCATAATTTAATTATCGTCCACGCTAAGTAACTATTTAAGGGTAACCCCTTTAAGTATTAAAAATGAGTCCTAGTAAATGAAAATCCAAACATTAGGTCAAAAGTTATTATTGGTGTCTGCTTCATGATTTTGCACAGTGTACAATAAAATATTGTTGTTAATTTTTTTGTTGTAAATATAATGTCATAATGAACGCAATAAGAATTTTAAACAAGCGTGAAAGACAAAGGCTTAAATTGTAACAGATTGTAAATATAATGTATCAGGATAAAATAGAAATTTTGCCTTCAACAGTATATTTCTGGTTATATTTACAACTGAAATCATTAACAAATATTTAAATTATTAAAAATATTGGGCTGATAGTGAGCGAAGAAAGTAAAAAAAAAAAATTAAAAATATATATAGCTTTGAGAAATAACATAATTCAGTACAATAAAACAGCGTTTAGAAGTTCGATTTTTCGATTTTAATAGTTTTGAGAAGCTAGATGAAAAAAATTAAAAGACAGAGAATAATTTTCTACTTTCTGTATATTTTAATGAACCTAAAGGAAGAAAAATTTAAAAAGAAATCGTAAATATTTTTATGAATAGACTCAACGAAAAAAAATTAGAGAAACAGTGAGAAATTTTCATATTTTTTGTATATTTTCATAAACTTAAAGATGAAAAAAAATTAAAGAATAATTCTAAATTTTTAAAAAAAAATAATTTTTAAATTTTCGAATATTTTTATGAAACTAAACAATAAATATAGGAAAAAAAGAAAGAAAGAATAAATTTTTTTTTGGCATTTTTAAGATAAATGAAAAATTAAAAGCAACGAACAATTAAAATTTTTTTTGTATATTGTTATGAATCTAAATAATGGATATTTCAGTTCATAGATGAATAAAAATTGCAAACAATGAATAATATTTGTGCGCATTTTTATGCACTATTTAGTGCAGTACTAGAGTAACTTAACAACTGCTAAAGGATTAAATATGAGACACTTTTAACTATAAAAAAAAAGAAGAAAAAAAAGCCATTTTTGTAATCAGCATAAAGGGTGCTAATTAGAGATGGACAAAACCTAACAGCTATGAGTAACTGTTACGAATTCGAAAATTACAAACAGACGATGTTTAGTACTCACTGAGAAGTGTTATTAAACCTGAAGAAAGAACTTTAAGAAATAGCATTAAATGCGAAAATAGAAATCCAAACATTTTTCCTTAACGTTCTATATGTTGCTGGGGAGCCACGATTTAAAAAATAGAATTTTTCTTTTAGTTTTCTTCGCTCACTTAATGTATCAACAAAATTTTAATAAACGATATCTAAATACAGCTTATATATGGAATTTTCAATATATTTTTATCAGCTTAATTGATAATATTCAGGATTGCTGTAGTCATTTGCTATATTTAAAAAATTGAAATCGTTAGTACCACAAGTTGCACTTGATGAATAACAGTCAGATTCGCTAAAACAATTATAATTAAAATCGTCTGTATGGTTGTTATAACGGTCTTGCGTCTCGACAAAGTCTGGAATGGTTGCCCCTTCCTGAACAGAGTTCTGGAGTTCGTAATAACCGGAATCCTGAGACATATTTGTCTTTGGAGGCTGGGGGGAGAAGTAAGTGCTACTAGTGTCATCTGTGTTTGCACTGTTCATGTCATAAAACATGCCATGAACGTCAGCCTGTTGCGCCATCATGACATTATTCTCACTATAACCTTCAGTTTGGTAAGAATTATTATAACAGTAACCATTGCCATTATTGACGATTTGATTGTTTATTGCGGGTCCATTCATGTAATCACTGTTCATGCCCATTCCCTGTGACTGAGGATGGTAGTTCTCGTATCTTCTGGTGTGGCCATATTCAGTTACAGGATAGTGATTACTTTGATCTGCGCTATAACCGTAACTGTTTTGGTGGTGCTGTGGAATGGAGTTTCGCTGTTGATAATGCTGCTGCTGCATTACAGACGGATCTTGCAATTGTGTTGTTGCACGTTGCTGAGTGCTGTAAATGTCCGTTGGATGTGTGTTGCATGAGTTAGGAAGATGAGATGCGTTCGGTGATTGTTGCATGTTTGTCTGTCCGGATGTTGGATAGTAAGGCATACTGTTGCTTGGATGCTGTGCTTTGAAAGATTGTTGCTGTAAATGGCTGTTGTAGGAAGATCTGTCAATGGGCTGTTGGTTTTGCTGTGATTGGTGGTTCGGTATAGGGGGTCTGCTGCAAAATGTTGGTCCATTTGGTGGTGATGTTGCAGGTGGTCTTTGAGGAGTGTAAACTCCGATGCCCGGATCTGGAGGATAGGGCCCAGGGTAAACCCTAGGCCTTTGGTTAACAGAAGAGGGCGTTACTTGATTGTTGGAACGATTTTCTTGAGACAAAGTAGAATAAGGAACACTCGAAGGTTTTGTATGTAATACAGGTGTAGTTGTAGCACAAACAATAGGATTTGAAAGCACCCTTGATTCGATATTGCATTGCACATTTAATTTAGATGCATTCTCCGCATTATTGCTATTGAAACTACAAAGTACTCTGGAAGCTGTAGTCTGTAGAGAAGCGCTATCACATACAGTACTATGATTTATGGATATATTATTGATAGTATTTACAGTTAGCCTGCCTTCTTCCGTAGGTAAGCTGCTAACATCGCACTTATTAGGGGTGGACCGCCTTTCCAAGCTAAGCGTGGAGGGCGATAACAAAGTTGGAACATGGACAGATGGAGATTTTAAAGACACCAAAGATTGTTCGGTGCTGTCTTGTTGCACGGCGTCTGATTTTGCTGGTGATGGTGCACAGCACGACTCACCAGCGTCGCTGTCTAGATTTAGAACATCCTTCGACGCACTCGAATGTTCAGGGGTTCTGGAGGGCATTCCATGATCGCTATCCAGATCAGGTTCATTGCTGTCACCACCAGTGGCGATATCACTGCCACTGTCGAGGCTTCGATCGTTGCCATCCTTGTCGTCTTCACCTTTGGGCACCAGGGTCTGGCGCTTGTGTTTCATCCGCCGATTCTGGAACCATACTTTGACTTGGCGTTCTGTGAGATCTAAAGAGGCAGCGATCTCGATCCTTCGTGGTCGGCAGAGGTACTTGTTGAAGTGGAATTCTTTTTCCAGTTCAAGTAGTTGGGTGTTGGTATAGGCTGTGCGTAGACGCCGTGGCATCCCATTATCAGTTGTCTCTGGAAAATAAAATGATGGAAATTAAAATTTGCAATCAAAAAGTGTAAACAAATAAATAATTGATATATTTGATCATGGTGAAATAATAGTTTATAGGCTGATCAGATTGAAGCAATTATTAAAAAAAAAAAATTGACCGTAGTTGTTGTTGACGTAAAGCATAAAGGCGATGGGGGTGCGATTGTTCTTGCTTTCAAGTAGCGCCATCTATGGTCACGAATTTGACTTCCGCCACACCCATACGTCACACCTGTTTATAGGATGGATCCGATCATACGGTTCTAGGAAAAAAAGGTCCCGGAAAAAAGGTACTCGTAAAAAAAAGGTCCCGGTAAAAAAGGTACCGGTGTAGGGAAAATTCTGTAGGGGAAAATATTTGAAATGAGAAGATTAGATTGAAGCGCCTTTTGCTGTTCCGTGCATGGTTTTTCAACTTTTGTTTCTTATTTATTCTAAAGAAATAAAAAAATAATTTAAAATAGAAAATAGCACATTTTTCACCTAAAAAAATTACAAAAAAAAGTAAAATATTATTGAAAAATTTAAATAATATCTTCCCGCTTTAAAAAATAATCAAAGAAGAATAAATAAATGAAATAAAATAAAAAAAAAAGCGTAATAAAACCAGCCCATAAGTCCCCCCCCTTACCCTTCTCCTTACCTCAATGATCTAATCTGAATTATTACAGATAAAAAGAATATTCATTGAAACAGCGAGAAGCATTCATGCTGCCCAGAAAGCGAGAGGAGATATATCCCTACAGATTTTCCCTATGGAGGTACATTTTTTACCGGGACCTTTTTTTCCAGGGACCCTTTTTTCCATCTACCGATCATACATGCTTTCATCCACAGATTATAATTTTGAGCTGAACCAGAGAACGATCAATCTCTAATCCAGTACCCCCAGAGATTTAATTTGTTATGGGAACATGGAGCACTTTGTGACCCGACAGATTTAACGTGTACCAGTCACCATTTACTACACGGTGAACTCCTGTTCTTACGAGCATGAGTGCAGTATCCTACCAACCAGCTATTCTGGCATAAAAATTCGGCCGTTTAATCAGTTAAATATTACTTGATTTTTAATAGAGGAAAAATAATATTTTATAATCCCTCAGACAGCTATTCGAATGTCTCTTAAAGTAAAATATGATGCATATAATTTAGTTTCACAATGTAAATAATATGATTTATTTTAATCTATACCATTGTTAAAAAGCTTTTTGTGTGGTAGGGCAGATATAAGCATTTATTCAGTAATTTAATTACGGTTAATTTAGATTTTACTAAAAGTAGGGGTTTATAAGTATATGCTTCAAGAGTAAGTGGTTTACGTATTAAAAATTGGATTAAAATTATGAAATAGCTTAACAGTTAGAGTAAGTTTCAATTTTATTAAAATTGAAGATTATAAATATTTGTTATTATAGTAAATCCAGACATGTTACCCAATCAGAATAAAATAAAAAATACTAAAATAGCATAGATATGCTGATTTGTCAGCACATTTTAAGATATAAATGCAACAATCACACGAAAAAAATTCTATAACACTGTCTAAAAAATACTGACCTCAGTAAAAATACGGAAAAATAATATGTTTAAAAGTCGTACTTTTCCTGTTTATGTACCTGAAATCGGATGAAAAATATGAAATAGCTAAATAGCTTTATCGTTGCAGCAAGTCCCAATTTTACTAAAATTCAAAATCAGTATTTGCTGAAAGAGTAAATGGTGAATAAATATGGAGACATTTAATTAATGCTAATTATGTGTGAATATGGAGAAAGTCAATTAATGCTAATTATGCGTGACAATGGAGAAAACTAATGAATGCTTATTATGCTTGTGTTAGGAGAAAGTCAATTAATGCCAATTATGCACAATAGGGAGAATTAATGCTAATTATGCATACAAAAAAAGTTAAAGAGAAAATGCACTGCGACATTGTTATTATAACGCAATAAATTAATTGCTATATAATGATACACCATTGAGTTTTGTACTGAATACTAAACTACTGTTTTACATTATAAAAAAATATCTAATGATTTTTCTTAAAAACATTGTATTGTTAAATAGATAAATTTATTCAATGTATTAAAAAATACAGTTTGAGTAAAACAAACAATTGTTTCTAATTTCAAAAAGTTGTAAACAATAATTTTTCTCACAATATAAAATCAGGTTAAGAAATATTTATTTTATATATCTTTCATTTATGTTTGAAATGCCATTTATATTACTAAACTCTGATGATGCATATAATAAATCTTGATAGACTGAAATAATTTAAATTGAACTGAAACTTGGATATTGCTTGATTGATTTTTTATTTTGTATATTTTATCACCCTTTCTTTATTAGAATTCGGGATCGGCTACATTTTTTGAACGTAATTGATTTTTTTTCAGTTCAGTTCAGTTCAAGTTGTTGAACTGACAGTCATAAAGAAACAAATCGTTCTCAAAACTGAAATCAACAAGATTTGCGTTATGGATTATGTAACCACTTCTTTCTTTCTTTATTTGAAAAATATAACAACTCAACACAACTCTACCAGTTACTCTCTTTTTTAAAAAAATTTGGAAAGAATAAGGCTGAACGAACGAACAATGCAAGAAGTTTTTTACCCATGAATCTTTGCGTGCATCATATCTTNAAAAATATAACAACTCAACACAACTCTACCAGTTACTCTCTTTTCTTTTTAAAAAAAAAAATCGTCTTTTTAACATTTGGAAAGAATAAGGCTGAACGAACGAACAATGCAAGAAGTTTTTTACCCATGAATCTTTGCGTGCATCATATCTTTGGAACCGAAACTGGGGAGTTTCTTGGGGGCTCGGTAGATAAAATTCTCGTTGCTTCTCTGCACAATGCGGGCGTTCTTCATATAGAATGAAGAACATAAAAGAAAAAAAAAAGAGAAGGAATAAGTAAAGGCGGGCGGAGAAGGGATGGAAGAAAAAAATAGAAGGAAGGAATTGTTCTTTTCTAGTCTCCACCCCGTTATCGACAAACTGGATCGACTCAAAGTTCTCTGAGCTCGACGTTTTGGGGATGGATTCTTTGGGTCGTTGACGTACATGGAACATTTTTGGCTAGGGTATGAAGCTGGAAAAGGAAGGAAAAAAAAAAAAAGAAAAGAAGAATATGAGGAAAGAACTCAAAGAAAATGGGTGGAAAAAAAAAGGTGTAATTTCCACCTTTTTCCCTTTGCTCATTGCAAAGGCAAAGGAAAATTGAGCATTGTCGTTCCCCTCTCGCCATAAACTGAAGACATCAAAAATGGAAGGGAAAAAAAATATTTGGAGAAAATGCGAGAAAATAAGCATAGACGTATAAAAGAACATTCGAAACAATATCCTTTTTGGAATTCGCATTTTTCTGAAAGGTTCGATTTCGTTCTGAATTCAAATAATTTATGTTTTAAATATTCCAATCACTTATCAAAGTTCCAAGAATTAGGATTATTGTTAAAAATACAAGCATGCAGCTTTATATTTCATCCAACATGAAATTGCATAAATTTAAAAGATTTATTTCGATTTGAAATAATAGCGTAACAATTATATATATTCATATTATAAGGAATTATTATTTTCAAACAATGAACGTTGTATTTTCAGAAACGTGAAACCGTACATTTCTTATAGATCTATTTATGTTTAAATACAGCTAATCATTTTAGTTACATCGCTAATTATTTTATCATTCGCCATTTTATTTGTTTGAATCGAGCTAGATAATCATGAATTGATTTGTATTGGCTTCATTGGTTTGTATTCCTTTTAATTCGTAATAAATACAAAAGGATAGTATTTCAATCCATATTGAAAAACCATCTATAAGAAACGTACTTATAGATACATTCGTTCGTTTGTTTGTTTGTAGAATAGGTAAGTTTGAATTTAATAACTTCAGTTTTTAAATTCAAACTTAAGAAATTTTAAATTAGTTTAATTTTAATGAAAGTTTTTTAATTAATTTATATTTCTTTTAAACTTTATTCGCAATAACTTTAATTTAAAGAAATAAAATTTGTACAACCATTCGAAAAACTTACTCTCCTTAAATTTGTTACCACGGCCAGGTTTTTCACTTAAAAAAAAAAATA